CAACGACAACGACAACGACAACGAAACCACCACCAGCAGCTGCAGCAGCAGCATCAGCAGCAGCAATAACCACAACAGCAACAGCAACCAATAATAAAGGAGATCATACCACCAACCCCTACCCCAACCGCAACGACGGCGCCAATGACAAGAACGGCAGCACTAACAATACTCATAGGAAGAGCAACGTAGTGCTGCAATGATGTATTGATTTTGCAATCGTTTTCTTCAGCACTCGTGTAAGCAGCGTTGTTTATATTTTTGTGGCTGGCGTCTTGACCTGTTGCTAACGTACTTGGAGGTTCATGGGTAGTTATAAATTGGAGTTATAAGTCCCCTAATATAGTTTATACCTATAGTTACCCTACTTATAACCCTATACTTATAACTACCCATGAACCTCCAAGTAACTCTTGTGAAGGCGCTCGCACCAAGGAGGGAGGAGGAGCCTAGGGATCCGGCCCACCAGAGCCACGGAATCTGCAACGGCTCGGGGTTCAATGTTCAGGGTTTTAGGGTTTAGGGTTTAGGGTTTAGGGGGTTTTAAGGGGAGTGGTGCTCTGAGGGTCGCCTGCGGCTTCTATAGGGTTTTGGTGGAGAAAGGTTGTTACAGCGAGACCTTCAGGGTCCTTCAGGGTCTTCAGTGGTGAGTTCGTCGGGTTCCCTGCCCTTTTGAATGGCTTGCTCGTTGCTCTCAATCGCTGCGGGCCTTTTCCAGCAAATTGCTGATATTCAAATGTTTGAGTAACTTCCGAGTGGGCTGCTGTTCCTACTCAAGCGCTGCTCTTTCTCAAATATTCCAATCCGCTTCGACCGGTTTGCTCCTGGTTGTTCAGGCTCTCATCCCTTAGCAGTTTGTTGCTTTTGTTGAAACTGCTGTGATCCCTTTCGAAAGTATTGCTCTCCAAAGAACTCATATAATGCGTGTTTGTTGCTCTCTCTCGCAAATGCTTTGGTCCTGAAAGCTCACCCTTGACCCGTTCGAGCGGTTCGTGCCCGTCTCAAATGCCCTCATCCCTTTCGAGCGGATTGCACCTCTTCTGAAATGTTCTGGTTATTTCTAGCCCGTCTCGAGCGAATGCTGTTCTTTCCCAGCTGCTCTAGTCCTTCTCAAGAGGTTTGCTGCTCCTCCTCAACTGCTCGAGGCCCCTTTGAACGGTTTGCTCCTTTTTCTCAAACTGCGCGGCCTGCTGGCTCTTTCCGAGCTGCATCAGTCCATGTCGAACGGTGTGCTGCTCCGTCTCATCAAAATGTTCGTCCCTTGCACACGCATCGATGACCTTTTTCAATTGTTTTGGCCCCTTTCGAGCGGATTGCTTCATAGATGCTTAGTTCGTTGCTTTTTCAGTCGATCTA